TTACAGAAGTAAGGTTCCGACAAATTCGTAAAAAGGGCCCCCGTTTTAAAAAAGTTAGGCCCAGACTACTGCGTAAAAAGGGTCCCCATTATACAGAAGTTAGGTTCCGGGCTACTCTGTACAAAGGGGTCCCATTATCAGCATGTTAGGTTCCGGGCTACTGCTGTACAAAGGTCCCCTTAACAGCTGTATTCCGGGCTACTGCGTAAACGAGAATCAATGTAAAGTGAAATAACATATTTTTTCACTTTCAAATATATATTGACACTTTTAAAAAATTAAGTACAATGAAGCTGGGCCTAAAAAAATGCAAAACAATACAACATTTACCTTTAAAAATATTTTCGCACTAACGTAAACTGAGTGGGAAAATATTTATTGTAAGAAGTTTTTTACAGAAGAATAGATATTAAGAAATCGCTGCAAGGAGACACTTAAAAATGAAATGCTGTAAGTGAAGCACTTAAAAAACAAACCTGTAAAGGAAGTGCTGTAAGTGAAGCACATAAAGAAACACTGTAAAAGGTGAAGTGGAAGTGAAGCCTTAAAAAAACACGTAAAGTGAGGGGAAAAACAACTGAAGTGAACCTTTAAGGAAAATAAGTAAATTAAATTTGTTTTTGGAAAATTTTAACCCCCGGGGAGCCCCCCAGGTAAAACCCAAAAAAGTCAGGACACAAAAGCTAACCTTTTTATTGGGGCCCTTAAACTTTTCCCCCCAAAACCCACACGTATAAAACCCCCTACCATTTTCGCATAAAGCAACATTTTTAAAAGAAAGTGCGAAAAAGTTTAAAAAAAAAACAACCGGGCCCCCCCGTTGTAACGGGAGCTTTAGAACCGAGGGCCACCAAGGGGAAAAGGGGAAACCTGTTAATAAGGGCCCGTACTAAAAATTTTAAATACCTTAAAAAAAGAAGAAAAGGAAAAAAAAAAAAAGCCAAAACCCGAGGATGGCTTGGGGCCCGGGGGAGCCTTTTTCACCTTTTAAAGGGGAAGGGGGAGGGGGGATTAAAAAACTGTAAAAGGGTTTTTCCAAAAAAGGAAATTAAACCCCTTTTCCCCCTTAGAAGCCTGTTAAATGACACCCTTTCTCAAATTTTTTAATTAAATAATTAAAAAAAATAATTTAAAATTAAAAAATAAAAAAAATTATTTTTAAAAAAAATTTTTTTTTTTAAAAAAATTAAAAAAATAAAAAAAATAGTGTTTTTTCAAGGGAGGGCCAAAAATAAAAAAAATTTTTTAAATTTTCCCAGATGGCCAAACCCTCGGGCTTCCCCCCAAACCAAACGTGGTGTAGGAAACCCTTTACCCCCTGTGAAATGTAAAAAGCGGGATACCCCCCCCTGTTTGCCCCCTCCCCGCCGGGGCCCCCTTTTTCCCCCTTTCTTTCCTTCTTTTCCTCTTCCCCTTTTTAAAATTTGATTTTGGGGTTAAAAAAAGCTTACAAAAAAGGGGTCCCCTGGTGGAAGTCTGAAATTTTTTTTGGGTGAAAAAAAGGGGGGGAGAGGAGGAGGAAGGGGGGAAGGGGAAAGAAAGGGAAAAAGGGGGGAAAAGGAGGAAAGGGAAAAAAGGGAACATTCAAATATTTTTATTTTTTAAATTATAATGAATTTTATAATAAAGTATTGGGTTTTTAAAATTTTTTATTTTAAAAAGGGTTTAAACAAAAATTAAGCCGGGAATGCACCTTTGATTTTATATTAAATCCTGACCAAATTTCTCAATGGGGGAAACCAAAATCCAAATGGGAGTTGATATGCTCTTTAAGGGTTCTTGATCCAAGAAACCGAGTTACCCTTCCCTTCCTTGGATGAAGCCATGTTACCTGTTATCATCATCGTTGTCATCATAATTTTACAATAATAATAATAATAATAATAATAATAATAATAATAATAATAATAATAATAATAATAAGAATTATTATTATAATAATTGTAATAGTAGTTTTGATAATTATAATAATAATATAAATAATAAAAAAATAATAGTGTTTGTTTACAGTGGGAGGCAGCAACAATAGGAAAATATGATCATTAAATCTTGCAACCAGATGTTGCTCAACCGTGCTGGTGACTCCTCAATCAACACCAGGAACTGTGGTAGTAGTGTAGCCCTTGCTAGCCTCCCTAGTGTAGAGAGATGGATGGAACTGTACTGCTATTACTCTCTCTCTGTCTCTGTCTCTCTCTCTCTGTCTGTCTGTCTGTCTCTCTCTCTCTCTCTCTCTCTCTCTCTCTCTCTCTCTCTCTCTCTCTCTCTCTCTTTCAAACTTTCGATTCAATCGTGGTGTATACAGCTGAAATAGTTCATAAAATCTCTAGAGTAAAACGACTGGATAGGAAGGAAATCAATGAATTTTGTATTAGGCGGTGTAAAGGAGGGAGGGAGAGAGAGAGAGAGAGAGAGAGAAGAGAGAGAGAGAGAAGAAGAGAGAAGAGAAGAGAGAGAGAGAGAGAGAGAGAGAGAAGAGAGAGAGAGAGAGGCAGGCTTCAGGAAAGGTTACTCTGCTGCTGATCTGTTGTTAAACCTCTCCACTAAGTGGCACCAGTCACTGGATGAATCCAAAGTCAGCTGTGTGGTAGCACTAGACATTGCTGGCGCTTTCGACCGGGTGTGGCACCAGGGCCTCTTAGCAAAACTTCAAGCACTGGGAATTGCAGGCTCTACGCCATGTCTCCTCAGTGATTACATTCACGGTAGATCTCTAAGAGTAGTTCTCAATGGAACGGAATCAGCAAGACATCCTATTGGGGCAAGTGTTCCACAAGGAAGCGTGCTGGGTCCATTGTTATGGAATGTCTACTTCAACGACCTTCTTCATCTCATCCCAGAATCACATGCATATGCAGATGATTGTACACCGACATTCACTTATCCAAGAGCAGAAATGCCAGCTGCTCTAAGCTACATCAATCACCAGCTAAGAGCTATATCAACTTGGGGAAATAGATGGCAAGTAACATTTGCACCTGAGAAAACGCAAATGATGGTCGTCTCTAGGCACCATGATGGTAATGCTGGTGCAGTAGTAAGGATGAATGGGAGGGTGTTGGCACCTGGAGAAGAAGTTGATATCCTTGGGGTGAAATTTGACCCCAAACTAACCATGAAGAACCATGTTGTAAATCTAGCAAACAAGGCAGCCAGGAAGCTTACATCACTTCGCCGTATCTCACATCTGCTTGACAGTAGGGGTTGCAAGATTCTGTACGAGGCACAAGTACGCTCACACCTTGAGTATGCTCCACTTTCTTGGTTTGCCTGCTCCCCCCTCTCATCTGCGACTGCTTGACAGAGTAGAGAGCAGAGCAAAACGTCTCATCTCTCGCCTGGACCTATCCTGGATAGATCTGTCATTTCAGCAGAGCCTTCAGCACAGGAGGGATGTGGGTGGCCTTACTGTTATGTACAAGGCCAATATTGTCAAAGTACCACACTTGGATCCACTTCGAGGACTGCGTGAAACAAGGTTTTATGCCACAAGACGAGCAGAAAGCAACAACTTCACTCTGGCTGTACCCTTCTCCAGAACATCACTCCATCTGAGATCATATATACCCAGGATGACTCGAGTATGGAACACATTCGTACAGCATAATGATGTCAACGAGATAAAGTCAGTTGATCAAATGAAAATGCTGGCCCACAGATGGCTCCAACTTCATCCTGTTCCCTACTTGTATGTCTCATAACAATAAAAATGCTTTCAAATGAGCTGATGTAGATAACAGCTCTTAGCTTGCCAATAAAGTTAGGAATCCTTAACCTGTAAATAGCTTGTCAATAAAGCTAGGGATCCTTAACCTTGTTAAACCCTGTGTAAAAGAGAGAGAGAGAGAGAGAGAGAGAGAGAGGAAGAAAGAAAGCGAGTACAATGAATTTATTTAACAGATGCCTTCAACCCTACCCTGTATCCTTTAATAATAAAAAATAATAATAATAAAACTATAATAAAATAATAATAATTAATTAAATAATAATCTATTACCAGAATATACAAGAAAGATGAATAAGTCTGAAATACCCATAAGATTCAACCGTCTCACTGGTGATAGCATTTGACTAACAATCGTAAGTTGCTGGGTTCGATTCTTTGCACGGAGAATTATAAAGGCAAGCTTCCTTAAACTTTTGCTGCCCTTTGCTTACCTAGCGTAGAAGTAGATACATGTGTGATAGCACACTACTGTGGATGGCATCCTGGGAGCTAAAATGTGCAAGAAGATACCAATACCTGCTAGTACACACTCCAATCCTGGGTGTAAGAAACTCCAGTACCTGCTGGTACATACTTCAGTCCTGTGTGTAAGAAAGTCCAGTCCTGTGTGTAAGAAACTCCAGTCCTGTGTGTAAGAAAGTCCAGTCCTGTGTGTAAGAAACTCCAGTCCTGTGTGTAAGAAAGTCCAGTCCTGTGTGTAAGAAAGTCCAGTCCTGTGTGTAAGACACACCAGTACCTGCTGGTACATACTCCAGTCCTGTGTGTAAGAAAGTCCAATCCTATGTGTAAGAAACTCAGTCCTGTGTGTAAGAAACTCCAGTCCTGTATGTAAGAAAGTCCAGTACCTGCTGGTACATACTCCAGTCCTGTGTGTAAGAAAGTTCAATCCTATGTGTAAGAAACTCCAGTCCTGTGTGTAAGAAACTCCAGTCCTGTGTGTAAGAAACTCCAGTACCTGGTATCTCTCTACCTTGTAAGGTTACTTAACAGTATATTGCTTTGTCATGCATAACTTTAGTTCCTTTGCTAACTTTGATTCCTGTCTTAACTTAAGCTTTTATTCTCTTGTTCCTGTCGCAACTTTACTTCCTATCCTCACTTCGATTCCTGTTGAAAATTTGATTCCTACTCTAACTTACGTTCCCATTCTTACTTTCATTCCTGTCGAAAGTTGACTTCCTGTCCTCACTTTGATTGCTGTCCTTACTTTGACTGTAACCCTCACTTTGATTGTTGTCTTTAATTTGACTGCTGTTCCGTCTTACCTCTGACTGACCACAGTCTTTCCCTCCTCCCCAGACCTCCCACCGGTTCTCCATCATGAACAACTGGGGCTCCGGTGGCAGCATCACTCTTAACCATGGTCTCGATGCTGCATCTCCCAGGCTCCACGCAACAGCAGCCGCCAGCGCCGATGGCGTTACCGACACCCCCAGCAACGCCTCCGGCACCAACAAGTCGAGGAAGAGGCCCGGAGATGCACTCTATGCCGAAGAGACGTACCGTTTGCGTTCTGATGACCATCTCGATGTGGAGCACACCAAGGTGTAAGTACCGCTTTTTTTAACTGTATTTTTTTTTTATTCTTGGGTAGTATGACGCTTCCCCAAGGACCCCACTGGACCCCAATGAACCCCAATGGAATCCAGTGCCCCCAATTACCCCAGTGGAAATAAGTCACTTCATCTGATTTTTGGGGGTTATCTTCACAGTTTACACATGTTACCATGTATAATTGTAGTGTATTAAATTTGTGCAACTTAAGTGTACCTGTACCTAAATAAACTTATTTATTTACTTGTATGTAGTTAACTGGTTCACAGAACCAACAGGTAGATGAATGAGACACTTGTAGAACACTTGGGTATCCACAATAAAGATACCCGAGTGTTGCACAAGCGTCTAATTCATCCCTTCCTTGCCCATCTCTACATGATAGCCTCACAGTGCAAACAAAAAGCCACCCATATGCTTCCCTGTCATATTCAATCACACAGGATGAATTTCTTACATCAACTGTTGAATTTAGTACCGCGATGAGGATGTCGTCAAGCATTTCGTGAAGGATTCATCAGCTAAGGCAGTTTGACAGATGTTCCACCAGAGCTGGAGTTACTATCACTTGGGAATTACCATCTCTCACTATGCATTCTCCTACATCACTGTTGTTGTTTACTGTCCATTTTTCCCAGGTGCTGCTTGAGCCCTACTGGTTTAGCGCCTACCAATGAATACCTTAAAGTAGTTGTACAAGGATATTAACGAAACATAGGGTTAATAGGAAATATACAACCGGATAATGGCAAAAAGAGGATGCAGAAGTGGATAAAGGCAAAAATAGGATATAGAGCTTGGATATAGAGATGTATAGAGATGTATAGCCTGTACAAAGACTCTAGCAGGATATAGAGCTTATACATAAACCGGAAAGATAGCACATTTGCTGAAATTACAATATACAAACTTTGCCGCCGTTTACATGATGCCAAACAAGCCAAATGTCTCGCCAAACAAGCCAAAGATCACGCCAAACAGGGAGAATATCACACCAAACAAGCCAAATGGTACGCCAAACAAAGGCTTCTTGTCGCGGACATTAAGCCGAGATCCATCCATATTTGAGGCTTCCATTGTTTGTTTGTATCACGTGACTGTGACTTCATGCCAGCTGGCTCTTGAACCTTACGTCACTTTATGGAAAGTGCCTTGACGCAGGTTAAGGGCTCTTGATCCATAGAATTAGAGCTACTCCTTCGACTAGGGAGGGTATAGTAAGAGAAGTACCAGAAAGTGGAAGAGGGAAGCAAAAGAGATGGAGCATACTGGAGGGTGTAAGGGAGAGTATGAGGAAGGGTGTAAGGGAGAGTATGAGGAAAGGTATGAAGGAGATTATGAGGGAGGGTATGAAGGAGGGACGCAACAGAATGGACCATGAGGGAACATGACTGGTCGAAGATGCTGCAATGTCATCATGACTGTGTGAAGTCTAGCTTCTTACAGTCCTCGGGCACTGACTAGAACACGCGTTGTAACGCTCTCTCTCCAACACTCCCTCCAACACTCCCCCCAGCACACCCTCCAGCATGTACTCTCTAGCGTTCCTTCAGACACTTCCATAAACACACGTTCTCCAGCACTCCCTCCAGTACATAGTATCCAACACTCTCTCCAGTAAATAATCTCCAACACTCCCTCCAGTACATAATCTCCAACACTCCCTCCAGTACCTACTCTCCAACAGTCCCTCCAGCCTTCTAACTGTCTTTCAGTACACACTCTTCACAGGTTCCTCCAGTACACATAATTCAGAAGACCCTCCAGTACACACTTTACAAGTTCCTCCAGTACACACTCATCACAAATCCTTCCAGTACACACTTATCACAGATCCCTCCAGTACACACTCATCACAAATCCCTCCAGTACACACTCTTCACAAGTCCCCCCAGTACATACTCATCACAAATCCCTCCAGTACATACTCTTCAACATTCCCTCCAGTACACACTCTTCACAAGTCCCTCCAGTACACACTTCACAAGTCCCTCCAGTACACACTATTCGCAAATCCCTCCAGTACACACTCTTCACAAGTTCTTCAAGTACACACTCTTTACAGGTTCCTCCAGTACAGACTATTCACATATCCCTCCAGTACACACTCTTCACAAGTCCCTCCAGTACACACTCTTCACAAGTCCCTCCAGTACACACTCTTCACAAGTTCCTCCAGTACACACTCTTCACAAGTTCCTCCAGTACACACTCTTCACAAGTTCCTCCAGTACACACTCTTCACAAGTTCCTCCAGTACACACTCTTTACAAATCCCTCCAGTACACACTCTTCACAAGTCCCTCCAGTACACACTCTTCACAAGTCCCTCCAGTACACACTCTTCACAAGTCCCTCCAGTACACATTCTTCTTTCTCTAACTCTGAAATATTTTGCAGGATTAAGGATGCGAAGAAAACATCCTCAGGGATTGTACCCCATGAAGGATGATCGCCTAGCTCCTAGGCTCGTGTTTACTGCTAGGTGAAGACCGACAGCATTTGTAACGAGACTTGCCCTCACGTCTCGTCCTGCCCGGGTATCGTACCCGGGCTCTTTCGGTTCTAGTAATTACTTTTTTTCAGCATATAGGCTAATAATTGCCTTTATTTTTACGGGGAAGCTCTAACTGAGCATGAATCATACCAGCATCTGGGGAATGGGAGGTAATCAGGCTTGATTTAATAGCTCCAGTTGCTTGAATCAAGAGCCCTTCACTAGGATGAAGGTCACACCCGTCGCCTTGAAGTGAGTGAGGCTGAGAGTTCCTACCATACATTCCCAGAGAGTAAGTAAACAAAGCTTTGACAAGGAAGTGTATCACTGACGTCCGCCAAGTGCTGTGATGGCTATGTGGGTCAGCGGGCAGTTAACAGCAAAAAGCCTAGATGGAGAGAAAATCAACAAGATTGACCTCAGGGACGTGTTGTTAGGGTAGACAAATCCCTGAAACAGGTCATAAGTATATCACAGGTAGCTCGTCGTCAAACCTGGCCTAGGCAGCAGTGACTTTCTTGGTTGAATGAAGATGGTACTGCCCACACGAGCGAAGACCCTATATTCGTCTCGCGTATATACAGAGTTAACAGGTTCGAGTCCTGCTGTGGACGTAGAGACAATGTTTATAAATAATTTCGCCTGTTTGCGAATTGCCAAGCATTTCAAATCTCTTTCGTTCTCCACTGCATGTGGCAGGATTCGATGAAATAACTTTCAAAACGAGCTTGGTGCCCGGGGGTATGGTGTCCGGGGGTATGGTGCCCGGGGGTATGGTGCCCGGGGGTATGGTGCCCGGGGGTATGGTGCCCGGGGGTATGAGGTAACACGGCTTAGCGTCGGCTAAGCGCCCATACTTATCGCAGGTCAAGTCTCGTGGTAAAGTATTGTGAACTTTGATACAGAGTGTATCTATCAATCTATCTTATATATATATATATATATATATATATATATATATATATATATAATATATATATATATATATATATATATATATATATATGCAAAACAACCACTCTGAAAGAATAGAGAAATTCCAAGCGCTTTCGTGACTACTCACATTATCAAGGAACTATGAAAGTGAAGCATCCAAGGAAGCTATATAAGGGGTCCGGCCAGCACCTCACTATCAGATCCCACAACGGTTAAACACGTGACGCGCGGCGAGCCAACTTGGATAGATCCTTTGCACAACTCACCCCCAAACTATTCTACCCAAGAAAATTTAAAAATTATTTGTCCAGTGTATTATTAAATTCTTCCCAAATTCTATTAATTATAAATGGATCTAATTTATATAAACCAAAGGAAATATTCATATTATTGTCAAAACTGCTTTTTATGAAACAAGAGTAGTCACGAAAGCACTTGGAATTTCTCTATTCTTTCAGAGTGGTTGTTTTGCATATTTTGAAATCACCTGTTTACTGTGATCTTATTGCATATATATATATATATATATATATATATATATATATATATATATATATATATATATATATATATATATATATATATAATATATATATATATATATATATATATATATGTATATATACAGATAAGTAAATACAAATTTACAAGTAGATAACTTCAAACTGGGGTAGAAGATAAAAGGTTTATTGATATTTTTTCAATGTTAGAGCTCCCCTGAAGAGCTTCATGTGGTAATGGTGGTAATGGTGGTCATGGTGGGGCAGTAGCAGCAATGTACTAATGGTGCCTGTTGCTATTTTTCTAGATATTTCCGGTCGTCAGGGTTAGGAAGAATGGAGAGGCGATATCAGTGTACACACACAAACATTTCCCATAGAAGACAGGAAGCTAAGTGTGTATGTTCTCTTGTACCAAGAAACGTGAAAGTTGTAGATCATGTTTGTATTTTTGCTCTCACTCCCGTTGTTTCATCATGTCTCCTCTAAAAAACGTCACTGCCACCTGACATTTCCTGTGGTTCTGTTCCTAGAGTGGCGTTGAGAGAAAGGTTAACCCTTACATGATTATCTTTTTATTAACACATTGGCCGATTCCCACCAAGGCAGGGTGGCCCGAAAAAGAAAAACTTTAACCATCATTCACTCCATTACTGTCTTGCCAGAAGGGTGCTTTACACTACAGTTTTTAAACTGCAGCATTAACATCACTCCTTCAGAGTGCAGGCACTGTACTTCCCATCTCCAGGACTCAAGTCCGGCCTGCAGGTTCCCCTGAATCCCTTCATAAATGTTACTTTGCTCACACTCCAACAGCACGTCAAGTATTAAAAACCATTTGTCTCCATTCACTCCTATGAAACACGCTCACGCATGCCTGCTGGAAGTCCAAGCCCCTCGCACACAAAACCTCCTTTACCCCCTCCCTCCAAACTTTCCTAGGCCGACCCCTACCCCGCCTTCCTTCCACTATAGACTGATACACTCTTGAAGTCATTCTGTTTCGCTCTATTCTCTCTACATGTTCGAACCACCTCAACAACCCTTCCTCAGCCCTCTG